TAGGGAAATGTATGTTTAATAAAAACAGGTCATATCAGAATATTATTTCGATCATGCGTTTTCGCAACCAGTTATTACGAACGTTGGGTAGACGGCTCTCTGCACAAGGCACTTAATTAATGCACTACCAAACTTCTAATTCTTCTAATGATTATAGACGATAAAAATCTCGAACGTTTGTCCGCATTTGGTTTTTATGTGCATATTGCGACTGACGTCAAACACAGAAACACCTGAAGTTTCGAAAGCTTATTTCAGATCATCGCCTCTCGTAATGCAGTAGATTTGGACGACAGGATTTTAAGACTGAATCTTAACTAAAATTTTAAATGCTGCTTAAATCAATTGTAAAGTCAAACTATTCTGCTCAAAATCAATTTTCGAATAAAGTCAGATCTGATTTTAAAACAAAGCTTTGAGACAGTAAAACTCAAATCATTCAGCTGGCAGTCTGCTACAAAACTAGACGTTTGAAGCGTTGGTTTCAAAATTTACAGCACAGACAGAGCCACACCAGACTTATCGACGCGATCGTAAGTTTTTGCGCCAAACTCGAAACAGTCATACCGTTGACATTATGAATGGTTTTATGCTACAGTTTAATAAATGGGCTCATGCTAGGTGTGTTTTGGCCTTTTCTTGTATGCGGCGAAAAAAGAGCTTTGATGAGATGGCAATGTTACATTATACAACCGCGCAAAATCTTAAATTCCAGCATTCACAAATACCGCAGATTCTGCAAAAAGGAAAATGAATATTTCCTGGTAACCAGTCATTCACCGAAAATGCGTACTAGGAAATGAACAGGATGCCGAGAAACAAGGACGACAAATCCTCAAAATGCACTCATTTTTGACGACGCGATAAAACTGGGTATTTGTAATGTCTGTGTGCAACAAACATTGCCAGCTGATTTTAAAACACATATGAATGCAGAGTATCCTTGCGAAATTTTAACTCCGGAGCTTGCTCAGTACCCGAAGCCAAAACTTCGCCACAAACTTCTTTAACGTGCTTTAAGTCCAAGCTCCATTTAGACATGCAACTTTCCAGATGGATGATATTTTGGGAAAATTACAGCTATTGTTTTCCCGCTAGTTTTCGAACCAGCACTATGCTAACCACGAGCATTGGCGTAACATAAGTATGCGCTATAGCTAAATTTGAAATCTTTGGCCTACACAGAGATTGCCACCCTGCAAAGTTTTTGTTTCCTACGCTTACCGCTTCCAAAATCGTTTCCCGTTTAAAAAAAAAATGTTTTTTCAAGCGTCCGTACTTGAGGCCAAAGCTCACATGAGCAGCGGTTTTAAAGTGGGAGAATAGCCAACTTTCTTCCCGTTCGCCTCTTCCCCCTTCCCCTGCCTGTCCCCTCAACTCCCCGTCCCGCCCTCCCACCCTATGCTTCACGATAATGCCGTTACCAGGGACCGGCCGAGGCGGCCGACGTGTGGCCGAGGTCCGGCCGAGGCAGCCGAGGGCTAGCCGCGAGCCGTGCCGAGCCGAGCCGGACCGAGCCGAGTTCTAGTAGCTACCTTTTTACTGGCTGTAGCAGCGCTATAACTGTTTAGCAC